AGGTCTGGCCTGGTCCCGGTGTCGGTCCCGATCCCCAGATCCCCCAGATCCCCAGATTCCCAGTTCCCCACTGCGATCTTGATTTCGGTTCGAGTCTAAATGCCATTATGACGTTCCCGTTGATGTTCTTCTATAGACGAATTGCGTTGTTCCATCGCATTGGCAGTACTTCCGCCTACGATCCTCTAACCCACTGATTCAATTACGAATCGGATATACGTGGGATCCCTGGGAAACCAGAAGTAGCAATTAGTTCACTTAACTAAAGCGTTTCCCAGGCCGTTTTGCAGACGAGTTGGAGTTGAGTACTGTCGATCGCCGATCTCTCCACTTCCACACACCCGAGAGAAGAATCTTCGAGAGTCTTTTAAATCGCTGGCCGATGTCATTATCTCCAAGTAATTCCTCATAATCGCCATGTTTGATCTTATTAAGACAGCTTAACTTGTTTTCTGACCCATCATCGTCGGTTGCCCTGTCCCCGGATCGGATCTCCAAGCAACCCATTCATACGTGATGGACAGACAACGCTCGATCGATCGCTTGTCCAGCAGCAGTCGGCTGCAGTGTTGTCGCGTTTTCTGAGGTGACAAGCTGTTTTCGATCGATCGGGTAATTTAAATAGTATACTCCAACTGGCAACAAAATACACTACATACAATAGACTAAGAAGTATTTGCCTCAAGGTTATATTCTGCGACTCATAACTTGATCTAATAAATCTCGAGTGATATATTTCTAATAGTTTAAGATTTAAATTCTCTTTTGACCCGTTTTTAAAATTGGCTTATTTATATCTATTCTATTTAAATCTGATTTCAGTAATAGACCACTAAATATTTAAAAAAAAAACTTAAAAAATCTGAAAACAAAAACTAATTCTAAATTAGTTTAATTTTTTATAAAAAAATATATATATATTATAAAAAATCATTATTATTGAGTTTTATTTTTTTTTTTAACAAAAACTAATGTTTATTTTTGTTTATTGTTGAAGAGTATAAAAAAAACCAAATAAATAACCACTTTTAATTTGATTTTTAAATTCTAAGCCTCTATAGTCTATTACCTATTAAAATCTGAGTTCAAAGTAATAAACGTTTTTAATTTTAATCGTGGTACAAATGTAAAATTGCAGTTTCCATTAAAGCCGCCAGTTGTGATAGGTGAGGTTTTTAGAAAAACAAAAAAAGCCAGATGTGATACCAAGCCCAGCAGGCATCACTGGACCACTCTTTTGTCCACCGTTCGGCATCCGCTGTCCGTTCACTTGTTGGCCGTGTTAAACGTCTGGCTTCTGGCTTCTGGCTGTCCGGTTCGTGTCCGTGTAACAAGGCTGGCTGGAGCTTTGGCTGCAGCTGTTGCTGGGCTGGCCCTCGTTGACTTGGGTAACTTCACACCAGGCAAAGTGCTAACGACTTTGTACCTGCTCCCCCGTCCCTCCACCAGCACGTCTGCCCCTTTCGAGATACTGACTGCCCTTTACCGATGCAATCTGGCTAAACCGAAGTTGGGGAGGGGAAGGGAGGGGGTTTCTGCCGAGGGCAGGGGATGGGAATGCACCGGAATGGGGACACTTCAATTTGTGGACGGCATCGTCGCTTTTCGTTTATGCTTTATATGCCACACGAAGGAGCTGAAATGATTAATGAACTCAAGTTTATTGTAGTTCCGATTAAGAAAACTACGACTTGAGCTCATATCAAATTCTCTTAAGCAATATTCAAAAACTATTAATACGAAATTGGTTCATATGCCTGTAATGTTTGGGGTTTTGAACAAAGTTGTAAGCATACAAAATTAAATATAATATAATATAATTTAAAGTATAGCAAAAATATCCATTCTAATCTCCGAGTTATTCAATCAGTTTATCTATTCAAACGTTTATATGAGCACAACGTTTTAAATTTGTTTAACTGTATAGTCACTTAGTTTGATATTTAAGTGATAATGTAAAAATAAAACACAAATTCCAAAGAGAAAATACGTTTGAACATTTGTTTTCTTCAAAACCAATGCATTGTGCCTACTATGTATTTAGCTTTAGAATATTTCTCACAAAACTATTTAGGATGTTCCCTGGAAAACTAAAGTCTGAGCAAATAGATAATACCAGCGATATGTCGCGTCCAAAGCAGCGAAACCGAATCGTAAATAGATCGAGTATCTGCAAATAGTGCAAAAGATAAACAAACTGCATGGGTGTGGTATTGGCAATCAGTGATCGGCAATAAGCAACTGATATTCGATATATGGTTGGGATCGGTGATTGGGGATTGGGGGTTCGGGGGGCCAGACTCAAATGCACAGCACATCGTTTATTTTTAATTTCGATCTCTGTTTCTGTTTCTGTTTGCTTTGGCAGCTGGGGTAAAGATGACACATCAGGGCATTGGTTGTGTGGTCAAGTGGTTCTATCTGGTGCTGATCGTGCACACGCTCCTTTGCATCGGCCAGCTTGAGTGTCGCCAGCACCACAATCGGAATAACAATAACAATAACAATAACAGAAGATCGGATTCCTCCAGCTCTGAGGAGAACCATGGCAACACCAGCGATGGCCTGGACAACTTTGCCGACCAGGATGGCGGATTGGGTAATCAACCACGACGAGGTCAGCGAAAGAAACATCAGGGCGGCGGCGGAGGAGGAGGAGGAGGAGGAGGTGGTGGCGGTGGTGGCGGAAACGGAGGAGGCGGTGGCAACCGGCACAATCGCAACGAGGAAAGCGGCATCTCGCTGTGGATCAACGAACAGCAGCTTAAAATGCTGACCGGTAAGTGGGCAATCAGAATCTTATATTCCTAAAAATAGTAAGCCTTAAGTAGATAACTCTCGCAATATCACCATTGTTAAAAAAATCTACAATTTTTATTCGAACGATTAAGAATTTATATATCCTTAAATAAAATGTTATCAGAAAAAAAAACACTTGCCTTAAAATTCAACGTTTAACACGCAGTTTTAGGCAGAAAAGCCTAGAACTATATAATTTAATTATTGAAGAAAGTAATAAGTAACTCAAATTTATAATCGATTGATAAAAAAGAACTGCCTTGGTGGTTGTATTTTAAAAAAGGTTATTAGAAAACAACTTATGTTAGAGTTCAATGGTCAACTTGGTGGTTTTTTCAGTGCCAACAAAATCTATTTTTAATAAACAGACAGAAAAAAATCCTTTATATACATGTTTTGAAAGAAACGACCTAAAAAATTACTCAAGTCCATATATCAGACCATATAGCTTTTGGTTATTTTAAAGGCAGCAGGAAAACTTAAGTTCATAAGATCGTTTAGCCCATCTGTAGGTAATTTATTTTTAAAAATAAGTCATTTTTCTCTGACAAGTATTAGTATAATTTCCTTGCCTATAGAAAATATGTCTTTGGGATATACCCAATTTTTTTTTGGATTTTGAAAATGTAGTCTTGTTTTCGATAATGCTAACTGCAGAGAGATCTGAATATGGACGTGTAACTGACCAGTTTCTCCTTCCAAGCGCTCTACTTTCCGCAGGGCTACTCGGAACGCCTGTACGCCATCCACAACAGCCGGGTGACCAACGATTTGCGCGACACCACACTGTACAACTTCCTGGTGATACCGTCCGAGGTGAACTATGTGAACTTCACGTGGAAGTCGGGCCGTCGCAAGTACTTCTACGACTTTGACCGCCTGCAGACGATGGACGAGAGCATCCTGAAGGCGCCGACGCTGTCCATCCGGAAGAGTGGACGCATTCCGCAGGAGCAGAAGAGTAAGTAGAGCGTAGGAGACTGTTGTAGTGGTAGTAGCAGCAGTTGAGATATCAGTTCCCCGGCAACGAGCCTCATCCCAAGCCAGATTTTAGCATATTCCTGCCCTGCACCGGCAACAGCTCCGGCACCGCGTCCTTCAACGTCGGCCTCAAGATCCAGACGCGCCACAACAAGCCGCTCTCGGGCACACCCATTCGCCTCAACTTCAAAAAGGAATGCGCCCACAGAGGTGTGTATGATATAGACGCTTCCAACCCTACTTCACTAACAACTTTGCAAGGTAGTGTATATGAAATATCAAGCAATGCTTTTATCTAGTCAATAGTTGTAATTGTTAATTAGCATCTACGTTTTGTGCACACTCCTCCCATCAAGCTCCTTGAGACAATGCCAATCCCTGCATGCCATCCCAGCCCCATTGAATCCCATCCCTATCGCCATGTAGTCGCTTTTCACGGCTTTTCCGCGCCCAGCTTTCCATTTTCTTCTCAGCACAAAATGGCCGAAATGGGGTTCCAATCGAAGAATTCTACACACGGAACCTTTCAAAACTTTTGTTGATTGCGGCCTTGTTCCCATTACATTAGATTTAAATACAAAAATTATTAAATCATATTTTGTTTGTCATATAAATTCCCGATTGTTTTTAATATAAAACTGTTTTCTATAAATAAGTGATACTTATGAATGTCTGCTGGCAGAGTTTTATAACTATTTGATCCGTACTCTATCAATTACATTTTCGAAGCTTCATCAAATGTCTTCCAAAATAATTTTACTGACAGCCTCAAAAGGTTTGAACCACCCAGCCGCTTTCATGCCAACCCGCTTTTGTATCTATCTGTCGATCTTTGTATCCACTGTCCACTGTCCACTATCCACTATCCACTCCAACTTTCCCCCTCATCTTTGTGGTTCCGATGTGCTCCGTTTAGTGTGAGTCTAGATGTGACTGAGTGTTGTAAATGAGTGTTAATGCCTCGTGACCTGCGAACGATTGAACTAAACTAAAAAAACTTAAGCTCCCGATCCAGAATGCAGCTTGAAGTGCGGCAAGAACGGCTACTGCAACGAGCACCACATCTGCAAGTGCAAGGTGGGCTATACGGGTCAATATTGCGAGACGGCCTTCTGTTTCCCGCAGTGCCTCAACGGTGGCAACTGCACGGCTCCGTCCATCTGCACCTGTCCGGAGGGCTACCAGGGCACCCAGTGCGAAGGTGGTGAGTACGCTGGACATTTTGTATGGCTTTAGGTCTATCTTTAATGCTTAACACGATGCGGGAACAGATCATTTTGGTATATACAGGGGGCTCGCGCATCCATCCGGATCAAGTTTAGATCTTCTTCGAGATGGCAATGGCCGTCTTGCAGCCAAACTTGATCACCTCGGTCATCGCCTGGTAGAAAGGCGCCTGTTCGGCTCCATGATCGATGCCCGTGTCGTGGTGTTCCTGTTCCTCGTCCCGGAACTTGGTGATTGTCTCCAGCAGCTCCTATAATATTATCAATTCCCATTAGTTTGAATGAAATTGGGTGCGGAAGTAAAAAGTAGCGCTATACCTTGTCTGGGTTGGGTGCCTCCATGATCTGGCGCAGCTGGTCGTTGTAGTGCTCCACGATCACCGTCTCCACGGCCACCGTGCAGGCCATCGCCGCCTTTTCGCCCATCAGGGCTGTTCCGGCGCCCAGCACAAATCCGGCCACGTTCCACAACGGCGTCATGATCGTTGGACGCACGCGATGCTGCTGGATGAGCTGCTCGAATTGCTTGCGGTGTTCCTTCTCCTGCTCCCACATATGTCCGATGGTCTTGCCCAGCGGTCCGTTGCCCAGAATGGCCATCTGTCCGGCGTAGATGCGATCTGCGCCCAGTTCACCGGCATGATCGACGCGTATGATCTCGTCTGTCAGAGCATTTGGTCGTGGGCGCAGAGGCGTGACTCCTGGTGCGGCTCTTTCGGCACTGGCTGCTCCTCCTGATCCTAATCCTGATCCAGATCCTCCTCCTGCTGAGCTAAGGCAACGCATGTAGAGCAGACGCGGCTCGGCTCTGCAGAGTACTCCTCTCAGCATTCCGTCTGTAAGGGAGTAGACTTTTACAATCAGGGGAAAGAAACTGGGGAAATTTGACCTTCTGGCTAATGTATATTTCTACTTTCTAGATATGACTTCCAATTGCTTATACCCTAATCCTAACCATTTTCTGGGTTTACCCACTGACTCCTCTGCCTTCCACAGGTATTTGCAAGGACAAGTGCTTGAATGGCGGCAAGTGCATACAGAAGGACAAGTGCCAGTGCTCCAAGGGTTACTATGGCCTGCGCTGCGAGTACTGTGAGTAGCGAGTATGGCCTCAATAATCGCCGCTGGAGCTCTAAAATCCCCATTCTACTCCACAGCCAAGTGCGTGATTCCCTGCAAGAATGAGGGCCGTTGCATCGGGAACAATTTGTGCCGCTGTCCCAATGGATTACGGGGTGATCACTGCGAGATCGGCAGAAAGCAGCGATCCATCTGCAAGTGCCGGAATGGAACATGCATCTCCCACAAACACTGCAAATGCAATCCGGGATTCTATGGGCGCCACTGCAACGGCCGTGAGTGCAAATCCCTCAGATCTTTCAGATCTGGCAAATGATCTGATTATATCTGTTTATATTGTCCTTCCAGGCAAGCGACGACATGACCACCGAAACGACGACGACTTCAAGTTCTAGCCCAATTGTGACTTTTCCACGGGCTTCCGTCGTATACGATGATATATTGTAATATTCATTGAACTTGCAACATTTTTCTATTAAAAAACACTACTACCACCACAACAACAACAACAACAACCAGAACAACAGCGACAAAAGGATGAAAAGAAAATAATTCTAATTGTGATAAAATTTTTTTGTAATTTAACATTTTTAAATAAAAACGAAATCTAAGAATTGCCCCGATCTTGACAAGAATCCTGAGGTCAAGGGTAACTTATTTTAGTGCACTTACTCATTACTTGTCTGCAGTTTTTCCAGGTATTCGCAAAATAAACAATATTAAATAACAATCCAATTCGACGAGCCAAAAAAAAAGTTCTGTTTATTATACGCAGGGATGGACAATCACTGCCAGCCGGCAACTGGAATAATATCGAAAATGTGACCGTGATTCGTGTCTGTGACCGTGATTCGTGATTATTCCAGTGATATCAGTGATTCCAAAGACAAAGTTTGAGTTATTTTAATCAAACTGTATTTTTAAATGAACTTGTTCAAATTTTTAAATAATCTATACTACAATTTATTAACTTTTCGCTGATCTATTTGTCTAACGATTTTAAAAAGGCCATAGATAATGTCATGGTCAAAAGCTAAAGAAATACATTTAAGCCAATTTTTAGGATTTTACTTACCCCTTTTCAAACTTTCGCAAAGGGACTGGAAGAAATGTGACCCATTTACTTAGCTCAAAACATTGACAATTCAAAACAAAATATGAAGTGGCATATTTTGAATAATGTTATAACCAGTTTTTTTATGATTAATGATAGAAAAGATTGCGAAAAGCGTCCAGTTATATTGATATTAGTTAAATTACACTGGACAACATGACAAACTGTTGCTTTTTAGCTATAATTTTGCATCCCTGGTCGATCAGCTGGCGATAGTTCGATGTTTCGATAGTCAGCTGTGCATGTCGTGGCCCCAAATTCAAAAAGCAATCTAAAGCAAAGCCTTTGATCCGTTTGGTTATCTGTAGCTTGATTAATTTCACCAAGTTCGCCTATGATTGCCTCCCGCCACTGAAGGTGGACGGTGGGGTGTGGGCGTGGCCATGTGCGTGATAATAGCGCCGCAAAATATAAAACACCCGCTGCCCAATTGGCCGACAAACAGTCTGGCTGAGATCACCATTGTCGTAGTAATTGGCTGGTAAGCGGGAGGGTTACTTATCGGGGATCGGGGGCGGGTCAACGCACCAGACAAGCAACTGCAATCGCAATTCGACATTCCACAGAGCAAGATGTCGACCGAGCAGCAACAATTGGACTACATTGAGCGCCACTTGGTGTACGACATCTTCAAGTACTTCGGGTCGGGCGCATCGCTGGAGGGGCACCGGGTGGAGTGCTCCAAAGGGCTGGACGGATTCATGTCCGCCCTGTACACCGTCCAGATGGATCTGGTGGTCGCCGAACGTAAGCGCACGGAGGTGATCCTGGTCAAGTTCATGAAGGGCACCGAGGAGTTCCGCGAGCAGAGCAACTCGTACATCCAGTTTGCCAACGAGGTGTTCGCCTACGCCGAGATCCTGCCCGCCTACGAGCACCTGCTGCGCACCAGTCACCTGGCCAACGATGTGGTGGCCAACTGGGTGCCGCGCTGCTATTTGGCCAAGTTCGGGGAGGTCAATGGTGGGTAAAACCAAAGTGGAGTGTGATGCATCCCAACTAATCCCTGCCCATATCCTGCAGGTCTCGGGAGCGGTCGCGAATCTGTGCTGGCTTTGAAGCATCTCAAGGGCGATGGCTATCAGTTGGGCCCGCGTCTGACCCTGCGTCGTGATCAACTGGAGGCCATGGTGCGTCTGCTGGGACCCTTCCATGCCCTCGGCTATGCCACACGAATACTCCAGCCGCAGGTGCATGCCCGCCTGCGTTCGGGAGTGGTGGACATGCCGTTTGTCTCCAGCTCCGGCAAGGCCGGCTTCGATGTACTCTATCGCGTGGCCTTCGATCGCTTCTACGAGTTCTACGACCGGCAGAAGGCGCAGCTCCTCAAGGACTCCGACGTGGGTTTTGCCGCCGCCATTGAGCGGCTGCGAGCGAAGTACTTCGACAATCCCACGCACCTGCTGGAGCGGATACGCACCACGTCGTACGCCGAAGATCAGCCGGATAGGCACTTTGCCACCTTCCAGCATGGCGACTACAATCGCAACAATGTGCTGTTCCACTACGGTGAGGATGACCAGGTGGATGCCATCCGGACCATCGATTTCCAGGAGCTACGCTTCAGCACCACTGCCATTGACCTGAGCTTCTTCATGTACATGAACACACCCTCCCTGGGCAGGGAGGAGATCTTTGCGGATCTGCTGAGAAAGTACCACAAGCACATGATCGAAATGCTGGAACTGGTGTTGCATCGCAACCGGGATGAGTTGAGCGACGAGCGGGTGGAACAGCTCCTGGCGGACTACAGGTGGGTAGCGCATACATGGTTTCCCTTCATCTCTTGTGATTATATACGTATCCCTTCCATCTTCCAGTTTCGAACGCTTTGAGGCCCACTTCAAGCGATATGCCTTTTACGGAGTGATGGTCTGCATGCACTTCATGCCCTGGCTGCTGGGCACTGAAACGGATTGCGCCGAGTTGTCCCGGCTCTTCGACACGGACATGCACGGCCGGGCCTTCCATCAACTGTCGCTGGACATTGCCGGTGACGTGGCCAACGAGGAGATCTTCAAGACGGTGCGCCACGCCTACGAGCACGGCTACATGGACGAGATATAGCTTATCTGACATCAAACAAAACAGCGGTGGTCTTGGCCATAAGCCATAATCTCACACTTTAAGTATAGTATCTGCACAGAGTGCCTAGATTGTGTAGCGTTTACATTAAATAATCCGATTGTGTTGCATTCCCGAATCTCTGCGTGCTTTGAGACCAAACCAAGACCAAACTGACTGCAAAGTTAGGCGGCACCACACACACACGCTTGTGGCCTTGATTCACTTTTGAATATTCATGTTATTTGGCGGCGGCAGTGGCAGCGGCAGCTTTATCAACTGTGATATGGTGGCGTCACTTCAAAAAAACACCCGAAAGTACGGAAACTATTTGAACAACTGGTGGCACAGTTGTCTATTTAAGAAACTCGGCTACGGGGTGGCCAGGAAACCAGTTGAGCATTGGCAGCGGAACCAACATGCGGTATATATTTGTGACCCTTCTCCTGGCCATCATCCATCAGCAATCGGCTGCAGGGCAGCAGGTGCACACTGAGCACAACACCATTGTCGAGGAATGGAGTTGGCGGGACAACCAGGGTAATGGAGATTCTGGTGGCTATCAGTACGCCACAAGGCTGGATAATGACGAATATCTGTACGACGAAAATGGAGATAATGATGAAGATGAGGATGAGGAGGAGGAGGACGATGCCGAGGATCTACTGGCCCAAGCCTATGCCGCCAGTCCGGATGAGGATGAGGAGAGCTGCGAGTACAGCTGTCCACGGTACTATCGCCCCGTCTGCGTGCTCCGTAATGGCCGGCAGGTGACCTTCGCCACGCCTTGCGAGTTCCACAACCAAGTGCGCTGCGCCAGTGTCCTGAAAAGTCGGGGTCAGGGTCACTCGGCGCCCGTTTTTCAATACCAGCACGATGGTGCCTGCTGAATCACACAAACCCATTATTTGAGCATATTTAAAATGATGGTTTAATCAATCGAATCGAATGCCGACATTATATCATAGTCTCCAAATCTGTCTCTCCTTTACTCTCCACTCCCTAACTACTTCGCCCACTTTTTTGTTTTCTTTTTTTTTTTTTTCGTAAGCTCTTACAAATGTAGTAAACATAATGGTACTTAATTTGGTATAAAAAAAATTGATTTTGAATGCTTGATTAGTTTGGAACTAGCACAACTACGCGTAGGGTGTATAATCATGATGTATAATCATGGCTACAAGCCGATATAATCATGGGTATTAAAAGTATTTGTAATAATGATGTGGTCTTTGTCTTTGTCTTTGTCTCGATCAAAGTTTTAGGGTCCGGAGTGGACCACATAGCTATTGCGGCGTTTGAGGAGGCGAAGAAGATTTTCCGGCGGTCGCACGGCCGGAGCAGCTCGAGCTTGAGCAGGAGTGCCAGTAACGATGTCCACGTTAGTCGCCATCGACCTATCGACCACTCTAACCGACTGGGACTGCGCCTGCTCCTCCTGCCGCGATATCCTAAGCAGTTCGTCCGGGTTCAATGTCTTGCGGCGCTTGGTGATCCGTGTCAACAGCATCGGTGGCTGCGCCGCCTGGCCCTGCGCTCCCTGGAGATGGGTTCCCGGCGTTCGCACAGGCGGAACACCTCTTACTTGAGAAGGTGTCCCAGTAGCCGACGACGTCGATGAAACGTTGCCCAGGTTAGACTGCGACTGCGCCTGCGACTGCGCCTGCGACTGCTGCTCCTGAAGGAATATCCTAAGCAGTTCGTCCGGATTCACGGTCTTGCGACGCTTGACAATCCGTTTCAACGGCACAGCTGGCTGCGACGTCTGGAGTTCCACCTGCGGCTGCTGTCCCTGGACGCCCGTCGACTTGAGACGGATGTGCAGCCGCGGGATTGGCGGCCGCTGGGCCTTGGCCATCAACTCCTCGTCCAGCTTGAGCATCGTGGACTCGTCGTTGTAGCGCGTATAACGCAAACTGCTCTTGGTGATGATCAGGCCGTTCTGGAATTGATAGTGCACCTGCATGAGGAACTTGCGCAGATCGTTGTACGTGTGCACGGCCCGGAAGCGATGCACATCGTCGCGATGGAAGGTGTAGCAGTGCTGAATGTACTCGTCGAAGCCGCCCTTCTGGGGTCTGGTGCAGAAGTGGCAGTACAGGAAGCGGCTGTAGTGGTCCACCATGTGGCGCAGCGTGGTCAGCTCGTCGGAGGAGGTGAACATGCAGTAGAAGCAATGGTAGATCACCGGCGCCTTCAGCTGCCGGAAGCAGAATGGCTCCCCGGGCTTGTTGTGCTCAATGTGGCCGTGCTGGCCAATGGCCACCTTGGTGGGCATCACCATGCTGCACAGATCGCACTGGTAGTACTCGTTGACGGCGCTGCCGTCGTTGCCGCTGGCACTGAGCTGCTGCAGGGCATCCAGTTCCGCGTCCGTCACATGCTTCAGGTCATTGGGCAGGTGGCCCATCCGGCTGATGTGGTGCGCCAGATCATGCCACGTGTGGTAGCGGTAGTCGCAATAGGCGCACTCCTCGGGCCGCCGAATGTCCGCGGCCACGATGTTCCGGATGGAGTGCACCGTCAGCAGGTGCTCGTCGCGCAGCACCTTCGCGTTGCCGCGGAACTCCTTGCACTCGGAGCAGAGCAGCTGCGGCTGGACGCGGAAGTAGAAGGGCTGGTCGGGATGATGGCGGGCCCAGTGCTGGGAGCGCAAGTCCTGCAGGCTGCTGTTCGTCTCGTTGCAGTGCGTGCACGCGAACTCCACAATTTTCTACGGATGAGATAGTAGGGATTGGTTGGTTGATGCTATTGCAATTCTATTGATGCATTTGCACTTAAAAACAAGCTGCTTTCGGGAAATATACTACAAAAACGATCAAGACGTTATCTAAAAGCACACACTAACTACATACATTTTAGTATTTCTCAATAATCTGTCAAGTAAATGTTCTTTTTCCCTGATTTTGTTTGCCAAAATTCAACTGAACTGGATCAATTCAAACAAAAGTTGTCAATAGAATTAGTTAATCAACACCATAAGCACTTTAAAACTATTCTCAAATCGAAGGATTTATTAAAATAGGCAATTTGGAGAAATTAGATGACAAATCAAAATTAGTGTTTCAATTTTGGCAAATTTATAAAATTATTTTTTCTCAGCCTTTAAATTTTATAATAAATACTCCTTCAGAAAAAAATAAGTTTTTAAGTGGCGCCATCTGCCGAACTACAGACTTGCAAATATTTGTAAAGTTTTATCAAACATGCAGTGACGTCATATTTAAACCTTAATTTTCCAATAAATTATAAAATAAGGGTTTAATTTTGACACTTTTTAGTGTGCAGATAGATATTGACTGTCAAACGATATACTCCCCAAAAACTGACCCATGACCCATAGTGACATGACAGAGTTTCTCGATTTGTGGACGTTAGAGTTGTCATGGCCAAATTTTGAAATAATCTTGCACTGTATAGGCTCCACTAGAAGCTGCATATCAAATCTCAAATCGTTATGTCCGAAATCTCGACGGACAGACAGACGGCTATTGATCCCGATCAAGTTACATATGTACTTTTACTCGACTCGTTACTGGTATGTTGTTAACATTGTTAACATTCCACCTGCATAAGTGACATGTGTCTTACCGATTCATCCACCTCCGCATCCGGCTCCGATTCGCCCTCCTCCGTCTCGTCATCCGAGGCCAGCAGATCCACCACCTCCGTCACGATGTGTGGCCCCTGCAGTCGCCTTCCCTTCGATTCCCGACTCTGAGCCTGTGCCGCCACCGCCACCGCCACCGTATCCGGCTCCTTGGACTGCAGCTGCATTTCGATGGGCTGACCCAGTTGCCAGCTTATGCTGTCGGGTATTTCGTTGGCCACGCGCTCGTACTGAACCAGCGCCAGTCCGATGCTGTCCGGATGCTTGAGTATAATATGCCTGCCCACGTCGCGCTCCCCCGGATGTCCGAACTCGCAGTGCGGACACTGAAACTGGAAACGAGACTGATGCTGCTCCTCGGCGTGCGCAATGATGCGCTGCAAAGTGCCAGCCGACTCGTTGCAGATGCTGCAAAACAGGCCAAGCGTCTGCTTGTTCTTGCTCACGATGCGCTGGAAGATCTGTACGGGTTGTACGCGCCAGCCGGAATGCGTGGCCAGGATGTGGTCGATGATCTGGGTGGCGTCCTTGGCGCCCACAGGGCAATACGGGCAGTGGTACTGATAGCTTCGGTCGTGAACGGCCGCCGCATGGGCCATGATCTGGACGACCGTGGGGAAGTATTGCAGGCACAGGTTGCACGTGAACTCCATTTCGCCGAGGCGCGCCAGTTTGCCTGCGGAAGATGGGGTGGGGTGGGGTGGGGAGAGGGGTGTGAGATGGCTATTCGACTGCTTAATGTACTCCATCACTTACGTGTCTTCAGCCAGCGGGCGGATATTGTGCCGTCATCATTGTGCCGGTGCACCACAACATCCACATTCTGATTGTAATGGCGATCCTGGATGTGCCGCTCGATGACCATGCGTTTGGTGTTGTAGCGCGTACAGGCGCCGCACTGGAAGATGTGCCGTTTGTGCATCAGCAAATGGGCCACATACTTGGCCACGCTGGCCTGGCCCACCTGGCGCGTCTTGCAGTGCTGGCAGAATATAACCTCCGAGTACTTGTGCTTGAGGATCATGTGCTGGCGCAGTGCCGTCTCCGAGGGCAGCAGCAGGCCGCAGTGGCTGAAGCCGCAGCGGTATCGAATCCTCGCCGGCACATACTCGAACGGCGGTCTTACGGCCTTGTGCTGGCCGGGCACCAGCGAATCCGGCTCTGTGGCCTGGCCACTCTGTGCGGCTAATGATTCCTGCTGCTGCTGCTGTTGCTGCTGTTGCTGTTGCTGCTGCTGCTGATGTGTGGCAGTCGATGATTCTGCGGCCAAGAACATCTCCGACTGCTGGTAGGCCTGATGAATGGCCTCCTCCTTGTGCTTGTAGAGATGCAGCTGCATGGCGGTCCGCACTGTGCTGACAAAGGGGCACTCGCCACAGCTCAGCGGCCTTTGGAAGTGGGGATCACGGGGCAGGAGGCGCACTTCCGAGCCTCGAAAGACCGTCTTTGTGCCCTTGTTGCGGAGGTCCAGCTCCTCGAACAGTTTGCGCTGAAAATCATGCATCTGCTGGCCCCCGAATGGCTGCTCCACGACGGCCACATAGCACTCGGTTTCCAAGGAACCCGAACCCGAACCCGAACCGGAACCAGAACCCGAACCGGAAGACCTGCCGCCCACGGCAGCATCGGTGGTCTTCATGCGCAGCTGGATGAACTGCAGCTGACGGTTGACCAGGTCGAAGGCTTCGCCGTGCTCGTTACGCACATGGTAGAGCATTAAACGCCTGTTGACGGCCGTGGCCAAGCAGAGGCCGCAGAAGATGCTGTGCCGGGCGTGGGCCTGCTGCAGATGGGTCCGCAGGGTAGGCGGAAGCATCGTCTGGCTGCAGTACTTGCACTTCACCTGCTCGCTGCCCTGGTTGACATTGCTGCGGATGTGGTAGCGCAAGTGATTCACAAACTGCTCCTCCGTCAGCCGCACAATGCAGCCCTTCTGCGGGCAGGCATACAGTCTGTCCTCTGTTGAGGATTAATAAAACAGAAAACAAAAACAAAAACGAAAAACAAAAAAACAGAAAAAAAAAAAAAACGAAAACGAAAAGCAAGCAGTCTTGTTAGTTAGGTTTAACCTTGTTTCATAGTGGATGTGGATTTAGGAAACGAAGCCCCCTTGTAGGTGGTTAGTAATGTTCCACCTCATTTGGGCACTAAATAGGTCCAGTTTACTCACCACTGTATCCAGTGGGTCGGAGCAGATCTGTGATGGCAACGGATAAGGAGACCAGTCCAGTTGGAGCGCCAATTGCCCCAGATCCTCCAGATCCTCCTGTTGCTGCTGCTGTTGCTGCTGCTGCTGCTGATGATGATGATGGCACATCGCTAGCCACAGGCTGGACGGCCGGCGGAATGGCAACTGGGAGTCGGGAAGTGGCCGTGGTGCCGCGCTGACTGAGCATGTCCCGGATCTGCTGGCTAACCGAGGGCGGTCCGGTCACGCTGTCCAGATCGGAACGAGGTGCCAGGCTGTGGATAAGGACGCCGTGACGCAGAAAGTCATCCACATCGACGGCCACGTGGGAGCAGTAGGCGCAGTTCAGATAGTCGCTGCTGCGGAAGCTGAACATGTGGAACTTCAGGTGCTCCCGCACGAACATCACCTTGTGGGCCGAGAAGTTGCAGTTGGCGGCCATGCAACGAAAGCGATTCCCCTGCTCAGCAGTAGCTGGAGTAGCTATTGCTGGAACAGCTGTAGCTGGAGTAGCTATAGCTGGAGCTGAAGTTGGAGCTAAGGCTGGAGCAGTCGAGGCACTGAGCTCAGGCGGCTGAGGCATTCCCATGGCGGATGGCGATGGCGGCACCACCACTGCATCCCCGCCCATCTGAGCCCCGCTGTAAACCTGGCTGATGGCCAAACCCAAACCGCTCTGATAGTTTATTATGAAAGGCTGGTCCACAGCTGGCTGCTCCTTTGGCGGTGAATCGGGCTTGGCGCAAAGGAACTCGCCCAATCCGACGGCTTGGAAGTCCACCTGCTGATTGGGTGGCCTTGGACCCGCCGCGAGCAGACCCCTTAGCCATTCGTTGGTCTGATTATTCTCTGCTTGAGTATTCTGATTTGGTTTTGGTTCGGCCAAACGATCGCCAGTGAAGCGACGAACCCTCAGCTTGGGAAGCACAGGAGCGGGAGCGGGAACGGGAGCAGGTTCAGGTTCGGGTTCCGGCGCCATCTGCACCACAGACGGCGTAGAAAGAGGCATCATGTGCTCGTCCCTCATGTGACGCAATTCCCCGGATATACCGAGATTCGAGTCCATCGCCTGGAGGCAAGTGTCCGGACAAATGGCACACTTGCCGCTCCAGCGCACCTTTGGGTGCTCCAATGCAAAGTGGTTCTCCAGGCCCTCCAGTTCATTGGAGAAGAGGAAAGAGCAGCCCGGCTGCATGCAGAAATATGAGGCTGTGTCTCTGTCTCTGTCCGACGAGGACATTCGAAAGCCCACGTTCTCCACCCGTTTCGGTTGCGACATCAGACGCGTGGGAGGAGTGTCTGGAGGAGGATTGACTGGAGGAGAACTGACTGGAGGAGAAGTGACTGGAGGAGGAGAAGTGACTGGAGGAGATGTGACTGGAGGAGGAGTGACTGGAGGAGGAGCTGCAATAGTAGTGGCAACAGGACTTGCCTTCCCCGGCTTCGGTTCGGGCTCTTGGGGCTGCATTCTGGACATCAGCTCGCCGGGATCGGTGAGCACACCGTCGTTGCTGCCATCGCTGCTGTGACTCGCATTGGAGGCCACTGCTTTGCTACCAGAGGATCGGGTGGCGTTCTTTTTCAAGCGCGAGCACAAGCGGTTGAACCGCGTGAAAATGCTCTTTTTGGCCTTGGAGTTGCGATTGGCCGTCTCCAGATCCACCCAATCATCGGTGAGTACGTCGTCTTCGTCATCATCAAAGTCAGTGTCATCGTCATCAACATCATCAACGTCATCTTCGTCCTGGTCCTTTTCATGGTTATGGCCTCCATTTAGCTTCACCGTAACCGGATCTTTGCCAGCGTTTTGTTGGCGGCTCTGCGGTTCGTCCTCGATCTCAACGTCAGAACCATCATCGCTGCCAATGCCATCGAGAATGTCGCCATTCAACTCGGCCAGACTGACTTCCGACACCGTCCGAGCCGCCGGCTGTACAGGTTGAGTTTGTGTCTTTGGTGGCGTTACATCAACCACATCCACATCCATATCCCCTTCCACATCCACGTCATCCTCCTCATTAATATCTACCTCCATGGGAGATGGAGCTGGTGGCTCTGGTTGTAAATCAGCGATTATCTCTGGTTCCTCGTGCTCCAGCAGCACCACAGGCTTCTCGTCCACCATCAAGCTCTTGCTGTGCATGGCCTGCTCTTCGTCCAGGCTTGCCTCCAGTTCTGCGTCCATTTCGACATCCATCAGACACTCGTTGACCACCAGTACGGGCTCCTTTTCCGGCGGTGGCTGCGGCAGTTCCAACAAATCCAGACCCACCTCCTGCGCCTCCTGTTCCTCTTCCCTTTCTCGCTTCACCCGTTGCGCCGACCTTTTGGTCATATTCTTGAACCGGATCTTGTCCTTCTTTTGCTGCGAACGCTTTGCCTTCGATGAGGCCGAGCTGGCTCTGCTCGCCGCTTTGCCTTTGGCACTTGTACTTGGTTTGGCGTCGTCGTCGTCGTCGTCGGTGGCGGCGGCGGCGGCGGTGGTGTCATCCTCATTTCGTCCTGACCGCGCCATTGGCACGCCCTCGGTGGTGCAGAGTAGCAGCTTCTCCAGCTTCACACTCGCCAGCTGCTGCTTAGTGAGGTCGTGCTGCTTCATCAGATGGCGGTCCATGTTCTCCTTGCTCTGCTGCACAAACTGGCAGAGATGGCACACGAGCACCGTCATCGGAAGTCGGCCATTCTTGGGATGCATCAGGGGCTTGGCTCCCGGGCCACAGGACGCGGTGTGCTGTTGCATCTTGTTTTGGTAGCTCTGCGGATAGTTGCAGTGGGAGCACTGCTGACGCGGCTCGCCCAGGTGCGAGTTGAGGTGATCGCCCAGGCCCTGTGGGCCGCGCAGGAGGGATATATCACAAAACGGACACTTGAAGTAGTACTTCTTGTAGCGCAGTCCATGCCAGTACTCCGGACGATTGCCGCGTCCGGCTCGCAGTTCGTCCAGCACACCGGGTGGCAAACGGGCGGCGTAGTGCTCCTTGTGCTCCATCATGTAGTGACAGACGGAGCTCCGGCGGATTGGCTTCGCGCACACAACGCACCTGAGGTTGGCCTTTGACTTGGAGTGCCATTCGGGATCTATGTTGCGAACATCCTTCTTCTTTCCTTTGTCCTTTTTCTTCTTTTGTTGTAGCAGGCTCTCCTTCACTGGCTTCTTGAGTAGCTCTTCCAGGGCCAGACATTTCTTGATTCGTACAATGCAGCGTTTGGTCTTCGGCAACGATGCCTTGAACGAGGCTCTGGTGATGCCACCGCCACGACTGAAGGCTTTGCCCCGTCGCGCCACATTCCGGATGAAAATCGGACTAGCCACGGACAGGCGGCTGGATGATATGCTCTCGGGGGCTGGCGAGGATCGCTGCAGGGATTGGGATCGGGAACGCAGCGAGCGAGTAGAGGATCGCGGCGGCGAGGGAGTGCGGGAACGACGGGTACAGGCTCGTCGTCCGGTGGCCCGCAACACATCTTGGCCGTAGTACATTTGGGCAATGTCCTCGTTCAGCTTGTCCAGTTCGTTGCGCTTCTTTCGCGGTTTCGTGCGAGGCTTGGGCGGTGCTGGGATCACGGGCGGGTTGTCCTCCATTGCTGGCTGCTTAGCCGCTGTATCCCCATCCCCATCTCCATTAACCTCCTTGGTTTCCTTCTTATTGTCCAAACGAGCCTTTTTCGGCTCCTCTGGAGCATCTGGAGCATCTGGATGAGCATCAGCTTGCCTTTTGCGCTTACGATTTTTGGCCGGAACAACTTTGTCATTGTTACTCAAAGAATCGTCTCCTGGTTTGGCGGCGTCAGGAGCAGGAGTCTTCGCCCTGGAAGTGCCCCTATTCGTGGCCTTTGCCCGTGGTTTATTGATCTGTCCCAGGCCAAAGCAGTTCCGGCTCAGCAGCGTCTCGTTGAAGGAGGCCTCTAGGCCGCGGGTGCGACGTTTGCCGGTGATAATGTTCTGCGTGGACACGGTACAATTGTCATTGGTCTTCTCGAACATGTTGGCCAGACTGCGGGCATTCTGGGACTTGCGCCTCTGCTCCTGCAGATCCTCGTAGAGGAGACTGGTCGAGATCTCCTCCTTGTTCACCAGCGGCTTACTGGCCGTGGGAGCCATGGAGTTGCGACGCTGCATAATACGGTGCAGAATTTGAGGCGAGGGACCGGGCACCTCCTCGTCGTCGTGCTCATCCTCAAACAGCTGTGCTGGCGATTTTTGGTTCTTGATCTTGGGCTCCTTCTCATCGTTGACCACCATCAAAGTGTCATTGGGACCAACGACGATTTTCATCTTGGAAAGCTTGGGCGTCGGTTTTGTATCCTCTTCCCCTTCCGCCGTAACTTGTACTTTGTCGTCGTCCTCTTCGTGGTTTCCCTTGCCTGGAACAGTAGTCGAAGTGGCAGTATCATCATCCAACTTGGCGATAGTTGACTTTGCCTCTGAAGTGGAAGTTCTTCGCTTTTTCGTCGGTCTCTTCATCTTGTTCAATTTGTCGAAGGGATCCTGATCCTCACCATCGTTACCATTAGCAGGTAGAGTTGGTGCCTTCGAAACGGAAGGCTTGCTTGCAGCCGCCGCCTTTCGGATCTTGGCCAGGATGCCCAGATGCTCCTCGTCCGGCGGCTGGACCGGCTGGCTGTCGGGAGCGCTAAGCGCTTGATCTCCTGGAACAGGAGAAGCATTTGCCTCGCTGGCTGGCGGTTCGTTCTCCAAGTTGTCTGTATTCTCTGAGCTGTCCACACTGATCACGCTTTCGGCATCCCCGAGCTCACGGGTTTTGTCAACAGCTACGGATGACTTCTTCTCCATCTCCCTATCCAGCCTCTTTTTATCCTTCTTGTTGGATCTATTCTTCTCCTTTTCGGACTTCTTATCGTGCGATTTGTGATGCTTCTTAGACTTCTCCACGTTGTTAGCCGGCTTATCGTTGCCCTTCTCCACCTTGTCGTCTTTATCGCTAGTCTTATCTAAATTCCTAACCCTATCCTTATGCTTATCAGTATCTTTATCCTTCTTGGCATCACATGATTTGCTTGTAAGGGAATTCGAGGAGCTGCTCAGGCTATCCCCATCTCCATTGACTGAGCTTGGGCTGGGGTTTGGGTTTGGGTTTGTGTTTGGGTTTGAGGTGGTTGGGGTGCTCGTTGTTTTCTTCGGAATCCGAAAATCTAGCTTTTTGGTCAACAAACCAAGCGAGCAGTTGCGGTAGGATGTGTCCAGTTCGGTGGTCACTGGTGTCACTGGTGCCACTGTTGCCATTGGCACCACTGGCGCCGCTGCAGCAGCCTGACTTTCCTCCAGTTTTCGCTGCTTCTCGGCGGCAAGCAGCCTGCGCTGTTTCACCTCGGCATCCAGTTCACGCTGGATGTCCGCTTCCAACTGGCGCTTCTGCTCTGCCTCCTTGGCCTTGGCCTCTGCCTCAGCACGAGCCTTGGCCTTGCGGTGCTCCTTGTAGGTGCGATGTGTGTCATTGGGTCGCTCGAAACGCGAGTTGTGATTGCCATTCCCATTGCCATTGCCATTGCCACCACCCCGTGCGCTGCTGTTGTGACCTCCACGATATCCGCCTCTGAAGCTGGATGTGCCATTAAAGCCACATGCGTTTCCACCTCCATTTTGATTGCCCATTAAACCTGTGCCAGTGGGCCCGCCGTTTACCTTTAGACCAACTCTCCAGTTGGACTTGTTGTAGACATTGGGAACGGTCCCATTTCCATTTCCACTTCCATTTTCACTTCCATTTCCATTCCCGTTGACACTGATATTATTATAAGTGTTAGTCGACTGCCAACCATTGGTTTCTTCAAAGCCTTTGTAGATGGTTGTGTTACGACGCGGATCACTGGAATACGGCGGTATCTGATTTGGCTGTGCCGACGGCTGCTGATGCGACTGCTGATGCGACTGCTGATGCGACTGCTGATGCGGCTGCTGATGCGACTGCTGATGCGACTGCTGATGCTGCTGCTGTTGCGAATGGGCGGTATTGTTCTGCCAGATGAGAGGATTACGTGGCTCTCGGGACTCGGTGCCATTAATGCGCCTGGGATCAAGGCTCGGTTCCCTTGCTGAACCAGTTCCATAGGACCGAACATCTCCCGCAGGCTCCGAGCCGTACTGCTGGGCAGGAGCATTGAAGCCGCCAGTCTCCAGAGGAATGTTTGAATACGGGAGCCATGTGCCGATCCTCATGCTCGGAGCTGGCGGAATTGGCGAGGGTGTACGCATATTGGGTGGCGGAGTCACCGGTGGCAAGCTTTCGGTGTTGTTATTGTTGTTGATGTTGGGCTTGGGCTTGGGCTTGGGCGGCTGGCTTAAGTTCTTCTTGCCGCGCGGATCGTTTCTGTTAGAGGAAAGCGGCGGCATATCCTGCCCCAATCCTAATCCAACTCCTCCTTTCAAGGCGGCCAACTTTCTGCGTGCCTCCTCCAGTGTATTCGAGATAATCGAAGGGCTGGGTGACTCCTTAAACGCCAAGGACTGGCTTGCAGCATCCTTTTCGGACACCGTTGGCGGGGCTTCCTGCTGCGGAATGGGCAGCGAAAGTGGTGAGCTCCGGCGCATAAAATCCGGCTTGTCTGAAGGCCCCACATTGGCAGCTGGCAAACTGCTGGTCAACTTCGGGAAAGATCGGCGCACGAAGTCCACCTCTGGCGGAGCACCAGCAGCAGCAACAGCAACAACGCTCGATTCTTTGGTTAATGGCGATGTAATTATTTGGTGATTTGCCCGTTGCTTCTTTTCCTCCATGCGAGCCTCATGCATGGCACTCAGCACTCCGCGATTGCCATGTGAATTGGGCAGCGGTTCTGATTTCATTTTGAGCGAAGGTGGAATGGCTGGTACTCCCGTATCAGGGACTTGAGCTGAGGCGGGTTTTTGCACCACCTCTGGTGGCCTTGCGATGGGATTCTTTGGACTAGCGCTGGCCAAGGAACCAGATGCCTTTGGGTTGGCCAAGGAACCAGATGCCATAGAGTTGGCTAAGGAGCCTTTAGTCGTTGCTGTTGACTTGGAGCCGGAGGACGTCGGCTCCTGTGCCTTTGGAGTCGCTGGCTTGGACTTGGTGGCAGCCGCTGGGAAGGGTGAGCCGCTCGACTTGTTACCCTTTTCCGGCTGAGGCGGCTGTGTCGCAGGTGTTGGTGGATGTGCGGCCGTACTTGACTGTTGGGAGGAAGTCGACGAGACGGACTCAATCTCGGCTTGGTCAACCATATCGATGAACGCCTTGGGCTGAGTCCTAGAAGAGCCCAGAATCAAGTGCCCAAACTTAGTCCTTAGCTTGTCGATGATCCGCTCGATCTTCATTAGCGTGCTCATGGATACATTGCTAGAAAAGGGAGGATTGGATTTTTAATAGCCAAGTTTGGTGTGGTCGACTCTAGGTCCGTGTCACTTACTCGCGCTCCAGCAGACCGACCAGCGCACTCAGCCGCTGACCCTGCACCTTGGAGAGATTCTGCTGGTAGGAATTCTGCACGCGCTGGATGAAGGGCACACACGAGCGGATCTCCTCCAGCTTGGCCTTGACCTGCGCCTCGTAGGCGGCTCCGGAGCCCTCCACCTCCATCACATCGTCCTCGCTCTCGTACATGGTGACTCTGGAACGTCAGGCACTGGCGTCGAGGCGTCTCGTTTGGATCCGACTCCTCTGTGGGTTTTAGGGGTTATAACAAGGGTTAGCAGGATGATGATGGCGATGTAGTAGGGCATGGAAGGGTTTCCTAACTCTCCAGATCTGACACTAAAGCGCACACGCACACTTCACTCACCGAATGTCGAACACATCAACTAGATTGTCATTATTGATGTGCTTGGAAACAGGAAACTGTGTCCCAAAACTCGATTGAAAGATAAATAAAAGGCAACACACATGTAAAATTCACGGCGTCGTTGATCGAATGACAACAACTGTTGTGGCGCCGAATCCGAATACGGGCTGATGCGATAGCAAGTAATCGATACTATCTAATAAGTTATATCCAACTTAAAATAATTACGCACACGATTTTGTACCTTTGAGTACAAGCCGTTTGTTAGATTACCGTGTTATTTATTTTCCCATCCACTTAAATCCTTTAACCATTTAAAAATAAATAAATTAGAACGCGGTATTTTGGCCCAGCCGACTATCGATAGTGCGATAGGCGGGCACTGCTGCTCACGGGCACACTAAAAACAACAAAGCACTCCCCTAAGTGGGTACGAAAAACACACAAACAAAGTGTTGTCGCGAAGTGAAGTAGGAAGAAGAGAAGACAAATAAATGCGCATTAAAATACGGCGAAGTAAATTCGCCGCTATTTGCATTAGTGTGCGTGTGGCGGTGGCCAAGTGTCAGTGTATTAGTGTCGCAGGGCGATCGATTTTTTGCTGTTGTTGCTTTTGCAGAGAAACCAAAAAAAAAACTTACGATGCTGCGATCTTGAGCGATATTAAAAAGAGTAAATACGTATTTCAAAACGCTTCTACCTGACTGCGCTTTTAAGGCGAGTTACACAACACGGAACACAAAAAAAAAGAGCAATATACACATCCATGCGTAAATAATGATGTAGATACACACATCGCCTTTTTGGAATAGTATGTGAAAACTAGCCAAAGCAAATATCTAACGAACAGACGGCACAAAGAGGACACAAAAAGCTGTTCATGCGAAATACAAACTTAATACGACCCTTGCCCGGGATCAAAAATTCCGAAAATACCGAGAATTTTAAATCGTCTCTGTTGTTGGCTGATCAAGAACATAGATAATAATATAGTACGATCAAATCCCACTGAACCCATTCAACCAAATGTTGTACATAGTTAAACATTGATGCTCTGTTCTTTAAAGTGCTTAAATTTCTTAATAATTACCCACAATTTTTCACACCAAACTCTTTTAGTTGTATAACGAAACACACAATTCTCAATCGGAGGCTCTTGCCTAACTCGGAGATCTCACAAACCCGACAGTAGTATACAACAAAGTTAAGACATCCAAAGGCGCGATGATGTCGTCGTGATCGACAAAAAATAACTGAAAGGAGGATGAAGTTTACCTTTCGAGGGGTTGCTACGCATTAAGGGAGTATTCTGGTCTACAATTTTGAAAAAATCGTTTTTTTCCTTAAATGATTTTTTAAAAATCGAATTATTTTAAGAGATACAGCCGATTTTGTGACGTGGCGTCCGAGCCGTTATTAATGTTTCCTAAACTTAATCGCATTTTTCTGAAAACTACTTTTTTTTAAAGGTGGTTGACATGATCATTCAAGTTCTACTGAACCGATTCCTTTGAAATTTTATAAAATATTCGAAAAGGTCGAAAAAATTGATTAAAAAACATTTTTTGTTTTCAAGTCGACGGCGTTTTGTTATCTTTATTGTGTGAAAGTAGCCAACCCGATAACGGCATGTTTACTATTAAAGATTTCGTTTGATTTTTCTTTCCGATCTCTACAAGGGCTGAAATCATGTCAACCAGGTCGCAGCGATTTTTTTAAGTTCCAACTTCACAGGTCTGTGTCTCGGCGAATATTGGGTTTTTTAAATTTTTTTTTTGCATTCTTAAAATGTTAATTAAAACCATATAAAAAATTGTATACTAAAAATTTTTTTCATTTCTTTTATATCTTACTTGAAAAAATGCTTATAATTCACGCTTCTTGACCAGAATACCCCCTTAAGAACTGCAACTCTCGTGGAAACCATATGGAAATTGATGTTACTACATCGTAGAAGGCAGAAGCCGTATTCCCGCCTGTCTGTTTCTAAGCTCCTTTTAAAGTTTTAAAGCTCCTTTTTAATACAACCACTTCTAATATTTACGGATATATATCAATGAACACTATACTACTGCTACACATCTTAAGCTGAAAACAAATCAAATATTTTTGTAGCTTTTAAAAATAAATAAAAATAACTATCAACATTGCTGTTTTAATTGCTACTGTTATTATACTCTCCTACCACGAAACCAATTCGCACTGAAGCATTCGGATCATTAATCGACTTAAATTGAAATACAAAATATTTTAACAAAAAAAGAGTTCGAAAATCGTTTTTTCGGGTGTCATAAAAATCTCCACAGATTGACTTAAGTTTGTTAAAAGAATCTAACGACAGAGAATACGTCCCTACGTGTTCTGTTTGTCTTATATATTGTTGTTGTTCGGATAGCTTCCCTAGATACACGGTTAGATGGGCTAGCGGTTGCTTTTTAAAATGGCTATAAAAAAGCGCGTGGATATTTTTCAAATATCTTTTTTTTTGAACAGCCCAAACATTGTGGATCATTTGTGAAAGATCACATCATTCACATGGCTTCCGCGCAGCTTTGCATTTGATCGACCGAATTTTTCACAAAAATTTTGATATTATGGGATATTATATATATATTATGGTTATTATTTCAACGGGGTTAACTCGCAGGCGAGAAGAGGACAGTTGACATCGTCTTTTCGGCTGACTATTCGATTTTCGAATGTACCGCGCAGAAGTCCACTGTTACGTTGGCTGTGTAGGACGTAGAACCGACCTGCTGGAAGTATATGTCGTGTATGTCCAATACTCCAATTTTGGGAAAGAAAAACTTTCAACATACCGCGATAGCGGTCACCATTGACGGTTACGGTGGCTCCTGATTTGTTTTCGAAGAAAAATTTGCCAATAATGCCGCATGACCATATACCGCATCAAACAGTCACTCGTTGTGGATGCTTGATTTCTTCAAGACGACTTGATGAAATTGAGCTTCATCCACATCGATTTCGACCCATTTTGCGAACTGAAATTGGTTTTCCACAAATAAACCTCAATGTTGGTGCTATATTTAAAAAATATTCACCCATACTTTTCGTGGACTACTCAGTATAATCTAAATTAGGTTTTTCCGATTTTTTTAGACAAAAATTTCCCTCTTTTCGGCGGGTTAAAAGTATCCAATATATTTCCATTTTTATTGAAATATGTAGACGTTGCCCGATTTGTTGCTGCGGTGTTTTTATAGCAAATAGATTTGGCAATCCTGATACGCCTGGTGAAAAATCATCACTTTTTGACTTCAATCCAGTGAAAGCAAATACTTTTTAGATTCAATTACACCAAGTTTGTTTTAAATTCAATTGTAAGATCTTTAGGATTTTAAGAAGTTTAAGCATTGAAGGTATATAATTTACATATTTTTCGATGACAATTATTGGAATACAGCTCAACAAAAGGTAGATTCAATTAATAACAATGAAGCGCAAATTTTCAATATAAATAGAGAAATATTTACCACCATATTATTTTTTCTAAATATTTAAATAAACATATTGAACTATTTTTGTAATTGCTGATTGTTCACTCGCGCTTAATTTGTTTCAGTAATTTGCACGGGGAAACTTGTCAATGTCTTTGTGCCGACAGCGGTTTTATATTCGTTGAGTCCATGGTGTAACTATATAAGGTGATCTAAACGCTAGAGCTGCTCTTTTCTAAGGACTTTTTTTTTGCCGGTCGTTTGTCAAACGTGCAAATCGTGCTATCTCTTTCTAGCGTTTGTCCCTCTAAGAGCGGAGAGAGCTGATCAATTCATCGTCCTCGGCAGAGCTAAAAGGACCAATATATATAGTTGCATCATAGTTGTGTGGTGCTCTGCTGCTGCTCTGCATTTCTTAGAGCCGCTGCTAACGGGGATTGAGATGCTGCTCGCTCCTTACTTGCACTGTTTTATAGCCTGATTCCATTGCCGCATTAGTGGACTTTTTAAATGTGGCTGATTCCATTGGCGCATTAGCATTTAGCTAATGCTACTCCGACATGTGAGTGGCACGAACAGCTGATCTGGGCTTGTTTACTTTTGAATTTTGGCAAATCCAAAAGAAATTAATTAAAATTAATGAACATGAGTGAGTTTACTTAACTCTGTAATGCTCAGCAGGACATCCATATTGCGACCGAGACATTTGCCAACTTGAACGACAAAGAAGAGAAATTGATTGCGTTATGACGGGTTTGCAATGAAGGCCACCACAGTTTCTAAAAAAGGCAAGGATCCCCGTATATGTGGGAGTAATTTTATGCCAGAGATCCAGCAGTAAAGCATTGTGGCACTGCGAGCAGAATTTGCAGCGTGCGCTCTAGGTTTCAGTCATTTTTATACAAAATAGATTTTATATTGAAAAGACATCAAAAATTGCGCCAACCTTGCTTATAGAAAACAGCTTTTGTAGTGGTGGCACGAACAAAATATCGTTAAACATCGGTATTTTTCAGTATTTTTTCTAAAAACTTTCGGGGCGAATGGTTTTTAATCGCATTTAAAAATCGCATTTATTTTAAATGCGGCATTTAGCCTTATGGGATTCCCTGTGTAAATAAATGCGCATTTGGCTAAATGCGTTTTAATGCGGCAATGGAATCAGGCTATTAAATGCAGTGTGGCAGATGGCGCCAGTTGGTTTCTCTTTTAATATTTGTAAGCTGAGTAACGGGTATCCAATAGTCGGGGTTTAAGAGCACAAAGTTTCCTCTTGGTTGGGCATATACCACGTCACAAGTATCTAGGTGACTCTGTAGAGACATGTCAATTATAATTGGTGACGTCATTGCAGCAAAACAGATGGCGCTTTCAGCTTTGCCGTTTATTGATGCATTACCGATATCTGAACAGTAAAGGGATTTGGTTTTATTCCCAAGTCAATCCTAATAACGTATAAGCAGGCTCAAGGATAAAAAATGGAAATGATTGTAAAGTCAATCAAATCAGTGTGTTGAAAATTTTGTAAAGTAAGCAAAGTAAACTTCATTCAAACCGATACTAGGATCATAGGTACGCCTTATTTGCAAATAATTAATGGATAGTGGTTTACTACTTTTGATAGGTTCATAGGCATGGCACATTGCACATAAAAAGATAACGATTGTCATTCTATTTCCACAAAGGTATTTCATCAGTTCTAACTCGATTCTTACTGAGTGTGGAAAAATAACGAAATTGCGTAATTATTAGTCAATAATCAACTATCGATACATTTTTTTTCTGCAATTACTTCGTGCATATAAACGTAGTATGTAATATAAAATTAACTGCATTGTTTAGAAAGTAGCCAACCAGAAAACCTTATATATATATATATATATTTTTTTATTTGCAAATAAGCCGTTCTTATAAACATAGTGGAATTTCTTATCGATGTTATTTGAATTGATGATAATATCGATAAGGCCAATAGGGTTATCGATTAACGCACAAATCAGCTTCTCAAAACAACGACAACAAGCCGAATGTCCTTTTGGGTTTTAGCGCATTCAATAACAACATCTCGCTGTTGAATTAGGCAATGATTATGTTTTCTCTATGAGTAATTGAATTCTTCCCGATAAGTTCTGCGCAAAACTTATGCAGACACACTCGCACAAACACACCCGCAAAGCTCACACACATACGACGAACAGAGAGGCATGCGGGAGCACGACTTTTTGTTGCTAGCCTGCACAGTTTCTTGTCTTTTTTTTCTGCAGCGCACTTTCCGTTTTATAAACCACAATAGTTGACTGTACTCACCGAAGCGCTGGCCCTACGGTTATTCCTGTTTCAAAGCGATTATCCGCGATTTGTCCTTGGCTGGCAGGCTACTGTGAATATAGGGGACGATGCTTGCACATCAAAAGTCAACGTCGAAATGACGGAACAATGCCCGTGTTGCCGAACGCAACACTTACCGGCGAGAAACACAGTACACACATCCACACAGACGCTGATTCCGACACACGCACGTGCCCACACCGACACGACTACGGTCCCAATTCGCTGCGTTCAATTCGCCGCAACTAAACTATCGTTTATGCTTCGCGTATATCGCCACCAGCGATGATCCTCCCTTGCGATAAAAAAGATTTTGTCTTCGTTGGGATTTTCTTTTACTTTTATATGTATGCTTTTTTGCTTCCAAAATATTGAATTTTTTTTTTTTTACTTTTATATGTACGTCTAACGAGTTGCCGGGCACAAATGATTTTAGTTCTACACTCTGCCCTTACGTCAACTTAAGCAAGTGAATTTTAGATCAAAAGTAGGTTGACCAAAATATTGAAAGGGAAAAAATATTAAGGGACGTATAGTAAAGTAAAGTATGATTAAATCGAATTTCTTGTTATAAAAATATATAATCCATATGCTGTCTTTTATCGGTACTAATAACGAAAATACAAAAATGTCCACTTTTGTAAACATTTTTTGTAATAAAAAACAAAATCGATAAATTTTGGTAGCTATAGGATTACTGGGAAGACAAGTATAAAAAAAATTAAGGGTATAGTTAAGGACACAAACGTTCTGTAGAATATTTGTGCATACATATAAGCCATTTAACAAGCCTCACAACTACTTTTCTAGCTAAGAAGCCGCTGCTGTTTTCAAGCCAAAATTACTCGCAAGTATTTGCGCCATTGATAGGCCTGGTCATACTGCAAGAAAATTGTAACAAAAAGGAGGATGATAACTGACTTCGGCATTCTGCCACATACACTTACGCTTGCCAGTAGCGAAAAAAGAAGAGGGAATAGCCGACCTTGTAGGTCCTCTACAATGGGTAAATATATTGTACCGCGAGTGTTATGTAAATTTGATATTAACAAAACAGCACTTTATTAAAGTTGTACACTTGTCATCGCCTGCAGATTTAAGTACACAATTATCGCGCTAAAAAGACAGTGTGTGAGGGAACCAGGGCAAGGATAGTGCTCCATTTCGTCCTCCCACACTTTCCCAACTTAGGACTAAGTTCAAAGGTGTTATGACACTTGCCCAAAATGCAGCTAGTAAATCTTTTGGAATGCTCGAGGTTGGTGAAGCAGAACCCAAACAACTGTCAAAATAAAACTGCTTTTTGGGTTAAAGCACAGCTTGACTGAATAATGTACTATTTCAATTATTAGCACTCAATAAATCCAGTCATTTAGCCGAATTTCAGGCCAGTGTCATAACGCCCCAAACGAATTAAAAATTCCGTAATAGTAATTAATAAAAAAAAAACACACATTTCGGACTTTAAACTAAACTATAGTCTACTGCTCTCGGCGCCGTTCTGTCGCACCGGAGAAGGCTGTGCCTTGTCGTATCCGTTGCTGGACATCTGCAGGTGCTGGGGCAGCTGGGCGGGACGGCCATTGGAGGGCAGGGTCTCGTCCACGGAGAACACGGAGTTGTCGTGTCCGTGCATGTGACGCGCATTGAGCACGGCATTCGGATGGGTCTTTGGCGACTCTAGCTCCTCCGCCTCATCGGGCTTGCCTTCCAGCAGGAAGCAGGTGATGAAGAAGAGAATGGAACCTGAAATTAAAGACAGCCATGAGTTGAGTTAACACATAGAAGTGGCCATGTAGACTACTTACTGATGCCGTAGAAGCCAGCATAAAAGATCATAATCGATCCGCGGTAGCCCAAAACCTTGGCCACTGGATCCACCAGAATGGGCAGGTTGCCCCCAATGTTGTTCATCACGAACAGGAAGACGCCAATAGTTGAGGAGCGGACACGCAGCGGGACGATCTCCACCACAATGGCGAACACAATGCCGAACCACATCTCGGCAAAGAAGTAGCTCATTCCCAGCGTGATCATGGCCCACAGCGGATCGAAGTAGACCGATCCGAAGGCCGGCAGTGTGGCAATCAGCTGACTGATGGCCAATACAAAGGCACGCGATCGAATGCCCATCTTGGCCACAATTTTGTCCGATACAATGCCGCCGACGACCACGCCCACGCTGCCAATGCCAATGGTGACCCCAAACAGCCACCAGCCCAGGTCGACATCGGGGAAGTACGAGTTGTAGTAGAGATCGGCGTTGTACGCAAAGGTCATGCCACCGCAGTGACGAATGGAGGCGGCAATCATCAGCATGATCATTGCCGGACTCTTGATCACCTGCCACAGGCTCACCGGCTTTCCGCTCGCCGTCTGTCGGTCGCCGTCGCCAATGGCCTTGCGCTCCGGTTCCCGCAGGGTGGTTCCCGTCAAGGCGGCTATAATCACCGTGAGCACACCCGCGCCCAAGTAGCAAACGCGCCATCCCAGATTCCAGAAGTTCAGTTTGGTGATGTACCGACCGACGGGGAAGGCGATGCCATAGCCTCCGTAAATGCCCCAATTGAAGATGGCCATGACCAGCGCGCGCTTATCCTCCGGAAAGATGTCGGACATGATGCCCGTGGCCAGGGGATTGCATCCGGACTCGCCAGCTGCCATCACCATGCGAAGCAGCACCAATTGCCAGTACTCCTTGACAGTGCCCTGCAGGATCATGGCAATGCCGAAGATCACCGTGCACACGGTCAGCATCTTGACGCGATTGTACTTGTCGGCCGCGAAGCCCATGAAGACGCCCGCAATGGTGAAGATCAGTATGAAGGTGGGACCGGCTAGGATCTGGTAGTCGATGCCCAGGCCATTGTAGTTCCACTCACAGTAGCCAGTGCCATTGAAGTCGAGGGCATAGCAGCTGGACTCGTTTCCAACCGCCGAGCACTGCGTGGGCAGCTCGTGACGATTGAACATCGATGTGTTCTGCTGGCAGGCATGATCACCGTAGTCCAACTCAATGGCCGTCTGCTTGGAGGTCACGCCAATGAGATAGTGACCCAGCTCGCCCAGGATGTAGCCGATGGTGAGGAGGGCCAGCACGTAGGAGTTGTAGAACCCGCTCAGTTTGTCGAGAATCGGTATCATCTTGATGGCCGTTGACTGCGGGAGAGACAAGAAGATAGTGTGTGCTGATTAGTCTCCGCATCTGGCAATCGAAAATTGACAAGAAGATACACAAACCACCAAATTGGTAATTTAAACTGGGCAGCTATCTATCCCCCATTTCGATTGGGTACCGACATTGCATTCATTTGCACTGAGAGCGGGGCAATAAAGAGGCAACAACAAGCAGCAGTGAAAAATTATAATCAAGTGCCTCGACATAATGACAAATAATCTGCGGGCACTCAATTAATGGGTCTACCAGCCTTAGAGTGTCAGCTCACGGGTCAGCTGCACATAATGCAATCTTGTCTGATCTGTCGTGACTGGAATTTCGAAAGGAACTTTGGCACAATGTCCATAATTCTCCCTCGCAGCGTAACGAAAGTGAAGGCAACTACGCGTACGTGATGCGAAAGGCGGTGTCTAACGACCACTATCCGGATACTTAGCCGACATAATGATATCCAATCGGAGCTCCGCAGGTGCTGACAATTAAGTTAAGATCGAAAGCATTTTATGGCCGAATAAAGTACCTGTTTATTGATAAATCAGTTAACAGAGTAATGCTTTTATTAAACGAAAGACTACTAAATCTTACATTTGGGAAGCATTTTGTGTCCACTTAGTAGCGGTTACCTTAAATTTAGTATTGTAAGTTAAGAAAGCATTTTATGGCTGAATATAGTACTTGTTTATTGATAAATCAACAGAGTCAGCAGAGTAATGCTTTTATTAAACGAAGGACTACTAAATCTTACATTTGGGAAGCATTTTGTGTCCACTTAGTAGCGGTGACCTTAAGTTTAATATTGTAAGTTAAGATCGAAAGCATTTTCTGGTCGAATAAAGTACCTGTTTGTTGATAAATTAGTTAACAGAGTAATGCATTTATTAAACGAAAGACTACTTAATCTTAAATTTGGGAAGCATCTTGTGTCCACCTTGTAGCAGTGACCTTAAATTTAATATTATAAGCTGTTTGAATCATTCAAGTAAATCGGAAGTGGGTTCTCAAATCCCTCAGTTGGAATAATCCAAAACATTCACCTAATGTACCAAGCAAAGTGCCTAAATCAATTTGTCTTATTTTTCGTTATTCCCTCCATTCTCGCAGCCGGCAAATTAATTTTTGGCAAACCGCCATTAACCAAGCTTCATAATAATCGTAGCTGGTTGCTTGCCGATCGCACAAAACTATAGCTCGGCTTTTGAGCATCGACTTGACTTTTGACAGCCAAACACGCCCGCCCCGCCAACATGCGTACCGAAATTCCTTTAATCAATCAAGTTAATTTGTTTTTTTTTTTTTTTTTTTTTTGCTATGGGTTTACAATGGCTGCGCTGTCAAAATCGCCAAGGTCAGGCTAAAGAATCGCTCAGAACTCGGTGGCCAGACACATTTAGCTATCCGACGGATATGCGGTCAAACAAAAGGTCTCAAGAATGCGGATGCTTGGTGTATTGACCGCTTGGGCTATTGCAAAGTTGTTCTCTATATTTACCATTTAAGCATTGGCTTGTCTTGCTTTGTGCTCATTGTTTGGGCACCGGATTCATGCTCGTGAATCGAACTCTAAAACATTTGTGCCTCTATTTCCCAATCCGCACTCTCCGCCTTCGAACTTTAACACATTCTGGTTTCGAACTGCCTAATGTTCGGTGCAATTTTAATAATAATAGCTATTAAACCATTGACGACGGCTAAGTCCATTGTAAATCTGCTAGCCTTGATCGCTTCACGATGCGCGTTGACATTTATCGAGCCATAAATACTAGCATCACCGTTTTGGGTATTATAGCTGACACGTGAGTCTAGTCTAGTCTGTCGTTTTATGAAGATTCGATGCAGGAAGCGGGGTATTATTTGTGATTGTTTTGTGGTTTTTGTGGTAGTGAAATACCAAGACACGACCTTGACATTGGTCTTTTGTTAGACGACTCTGGTGGATACCACACGTTTCTATCTCAACCGTTTATGTCGCAGCTGTTGCGATTGAAGAGCCTTGGCCATGCATTACATCCACATCCGTCAGTGCGTGCCGTAAATCTCGTTCTCTATGTTTCTAGACCAATGCCAAGGCGCCAAAAACCGGACCGCCGACCAAACGTGACTGGCCTGGAAAACCCCTCCCCTTGGGGAAACTCGCCTCTTTCGCTTTCTTTGGCAAGGCCATCGCATTTGCAGTTCGTGAATTAACAACTATACTACTCGAATACATGACCATTGAAGCGTTTAACTTTAGAACCTGCTACTAGGAAAAATGTATGTCTTTCGAACACAAATGGAATGAAAAATGGAACTGTATTCGTAGCATAAAACTTGAAATTTGCATTTAATTATTTGATCAAATTTAATAAAGTGCTCTGCTTTTGGAACCCAACTACGCTGAGGGTAACCCCCATGAGCTTCCATTTTGACCTCCCATCCACCACCCCTTCCCCCCCATCGTATCACGCAATGCGAAATTACAGGTACGCTGTTAGAATGTCAGAACCCCCATATTACAGCATCGACTTGGCTAATGTTCGTGACAAGATTAGACCAAGAACGGTCAGGCTTGGCTGCCTCGAGTCGACTTGAGAACTGGACATGTGCATGACTAATGTGCGAATATCCGATTCCGATATGCTCACAGATTTTCGGATGTGGGCGCGACTCCACACTTACCCAGCTCTCGTCTGGGTGCCTTAAACTGCTATTAAGATCTCATTTAATCTGAATGTGAATTACAATTAAAGCTAAGTACTTCTGGGAACTATCTTGTACCCCCTATAAAGTTTTAGCCCAGTTTTACCCCGATTCGATTAGCTCGCGCCTAATAAGCCTAAGCCTCTTTAGATGTCTATGCAAAGCACTTTGAATAGACTGATAGACAAATGGCCGGCACTCAAGCATGCCCATTACACATTATACACATTATACTCGTACAATTGTATTAAGTTGGCTCAAAATGCGGTTTATCAGCCCGACTTGCAACCGCAGTCAAGGTTAACTTGGCCACCAATTATGAATTGCAGCCAGATGCTGATTTTCTGGTATTTGAATTAATTTGCAAATTAATGTTCTTAATTTATTGGCTAGGCCTCTATGGGCAGGTGTCTCTTTTTTATTCTCGCCCACAATTATCAGGCATTTAGTTAAATTGAATGGGAGATCTTTAGGGCCAGTTAAGATGGCGTGACGTAGCCAACGATTCGGTTCGGTTCGGTTCGACCTTGACACCTGTCTGTGTGAACAATTACATTCTGCAGCTCGTTTGAGGGGCTACGCCCCCGTTGGATTCTGTCTGGGCTTTTGGTTTTGATTTATTCATGGCACTCGCCGTCGCAATGAAGCCATCAAGCCGCTGAATTGCCGTTTTTTGAGTGCCGTTGAGTGTGGTCAGTTAGCAGCCGCTAAGTGTCGGGCGAATCACATGGTTTGCATACCCATTATGGCCCATGTGTTAAGTGCCAACGACGCCACCTGAAGAAATGCCGGATGTCTGTCTTGCATAAGTAAGTAAACATTGCCATTAAAACTGCATAAGTCGATCAATAAAAGCTAGAGCAAACCCATTTAAAATAGAGGAAGAAAGTAAAGCAAGTAGTCACAAATGGGCTCAAAGAATCAGATAAATTAGATAAATTAAAATTAAAACTGCTTCAAAGAATAACATATGTGCAATAACGCCTGAGGTCAACCGGGTCATAAATCTTAAAAAATAATTCTAAAATAATTCTACACGCCTTCGTTCCGATTTTATTTACTAAAAGATTTATACCTCACTCATATACTCTAAGCGATTGACATGTAATTCTATAAATTTTTATTAGAAAACTGAACTACTCTATATCAGCAGAAAATGTTGTTATCAATATTTCTTAGTTCGGTTCGATTTGGTTTTGTTATTTTATTTTATAGTTACATTTTTTTTGGATAGTCTATTTTACATATGTATGTACATATTATTAAGAAGTAACAACTAATGACTAAAATACAAGGATGAAAAAATCAAACGTTGAAACCCAAATATTAGAGGAGGACTAGCCAAAAAGATAAAACAGTAAAACATGAAATTAACAAATACAACATATCGTTTTAAGAACTAATTCAGGCATAAATTAAAAACACTCCCCCCAAATAATTCTTAAGGATATGGCATGTCGAAGATTAACTGCCAATGAATCAGCGTCGATTGGCTGGGAGCAGGTGTTCGAAACTTGATCTTAATGAGTTACAAAATGACAGAGCGATCGCACCTGGCAACTGGGAAGCAGGTGGGCGGGGTTGTCACCAACTCCCGATCCCGATCCCAAATGCAAATGCATCAAGACTTATGGATCCGCAAATCGTGCCCACGTGAACCGAGATCTAAGTTGAAGCCGGTCAATTTAGTGGGGGGCTCCCCCGGAGGGTGAGACAGATGAAACTGTTCCGCTATTAGCATAAATTAATACGAATAGTATCGCCCGGCTGGTCAAACCAGTGACCATAGCTAAATGGAAGCGAATCCGAGTGCAACAAAGGCAAAGTTGATAGTCATCATCATCTGGGGCAAAATGTATCTCGTCTCGGGCTTTCTGTTTGCTCAATCTCGAGGGGATTCTAAAAAAAAAATGACTACTGCCGGACTGTATAACCCGAATTACGGGTAATTACGTCGTCTTTGCTTGTTCGACAAATGCAAATCAAGGGGACGACGAGCTAAATGGAGAGATCAGCCATACAGATTCGACTACATATATACCCATGAAAAGAATTAATCAACTTCCTATGGATTTGAAGATCTGCTTACTCGGTTGAGTTAGTCAGCACCACTCACTAATGAGTGGGTTGCTTATTATATTTAATCACAGTAGCCCTAGTAGACATAGATTGGGTAATAAATTACTCATTAATATCTATCAGCTGCTACATATCTCCCAGAACGCCAGATGGCCGTAATTTGGCTTAAATTTACGGCATAATTAGAGTGGTCTGGTCAAACAATTAAGCAATTCTCGAACTGGATGCCAGCGAGAGTAATCAATTAAAATTAATTATCTGCGACACCTGAGCAACCTTTCTAATTGTTTTGCTACAGATCTTACATTCCTCGGCCAATATGGATTGAACTATTATAAAAAAGTACTTAAGAAAATTATGTGATCTCATAGGGAGAGGTTGGAATGTTGTCAACTGTATCCGTAATTGAAGACGGGCTTATTGATTTCCCAATCGAGAGATCGCAACTTGACCTTCTACGGGCATTATTAAAATCGAAAAAAGTTCATATAAATTATAGAAAAGGAGAATGTTAATCAAAATCAGACACACTTATGCAATTGCCAGTGTTCATTTGCAATTTTAACTCTTCCATAATATATTGCTTGATTTTTGCATTCCGTTCGGATCTGGAATCTCGGATCTTCGTGACTGCCCACAACAATATGACCTCCCAATCAAATGCAGGGGGAAAAGGGGCTTTTCGAAAGACGCCCACCAGAAATTTTGTTTGATGTGGGAACAAACACGAATCGTGTCGTTGTCTAAATCAAAGTTAAAATAATCGATTACCACAGGAGTTTGTTTTTAATAAATTCCTATTTAAATCGAGCTTTCAATTTTTGCGATAACGCCAAATTCATATAACACGTTTGAACAAATTGCCCGCTTGCTACCTAACTTACTCACTCAATCGATCGATCGACCGATCGCCCGATCGACTCGAAGATTCATTAGACTGTCTCGTCTGGGATTCTGTACAATCCAGTTATTGTTTCAGTTCGGGGGTTCTCCTTCCTGCTCTTCGCTGATAAGATAGTCCAAACTTCAGGCCTCATTAGCTTTTGGGTGTGGGAGTGTCGTTCGTAAATTGTTGACAGCAACTGAGTTGCGTCAATATTATGTAGCTCAAACACACACTTTTAATGGTTTTCGTTGTAGCCCAAGTGCCTTTGGCTATTTCCCCACATCCCGTTCCCCTCAAAAAATCATTTAAAACGAGTATGGATGCTTATTGCCATTTATTAATGACAAGCAAGCCTTGTTTATTTTCTTTTTGTTTTGCATAGAAGCCTAATCACAATTGTTTACTTTTAGCACTTGGTCGTTGGCAATCGTTATATACATATTTGGCAAATCATCAATTAGAATGCAATCTCAATAGGATTAGTACCTTTTATTGCCTGCGATTTTTAATGATTTGGCTTTATAGTTGTTAGGCCTTAAATATATGACTAGTTAGGCAATGATCGTTAAGATCTGTTGTTTCGTGTAAGAAATCGTATTTGGAAGGGCTAAGTCATAAACATTCTACTGGAGAATTACAAAAATATATTTCCTTAGTTGAATTTGTGTTTGTAAGATCATTAAAAAAACCTTTTCTTCATTTCCTTATTCTTTTGGGTAATTTTTATCGTTTTTCCTTTAAGACTTTTGATTTTTCTTAAAGACTTTACATCGCAATTTACTTTTAAAATTACATAGATGCTATTTCTCACTGACTTTCGGATCAATTGCTAATCTTTTTCGTGGAATTATTTCTGTCACACCTTTTGATTAATAAGTCTGCGGTTACTTGGTCTTCCCCTAGTTAAACTGATTCACTCCCCGGCTAACTTACACTTTCCCACTCTGTCGAGCTGCTGCAATTGCAATTCTTTTCTTCGTTCGACGATCGATCGATGGCTTTGGCACTGACACAGAAAAAAACTGTACCCCTCGATGGATTTAAATTAATTAATTGCACACAAGCACGCGTCGGCGAGCAATTGAGTACTGTCAAGGCGTTTAATATTTATTTCAATATCTTTGCAGCATCAGCGAAGATAGCGCGACACGACATGCGACAGTCAACAGACGACACTTACACAGAACAAACAATTCGATGGCAAGAAAGTACACTGTTCAGTTACAGTCCGAACCGTAGGACTTGGCTCTGGACTTGGACTTGACTTCGAGTGCGACTGCGACTGCGACTCCGACTATGCTGTTTATTTTGGGGCACGTCCAGTTGACTGCGTTTGGCAAACAGAACTAAAACACGGCTCAGTCCATCGTCGTTTTTAAAAAGGAAAGCCAAACCGCCCAAACGGCGACGTCGACGGCGCTGCCCTCGCCGGCTAAACAATGCAAAGTTTCTGCTTCAGCCCGATCCGAAGTCGAGAGAGGTTCAAAAGCAAAGCAGTCTGGCAGTCAAGCAGTCAGGCATGCGGAGAGCAAAAGCAGAAAGAGCGCTCCGAGTGCTCTTTGTTGGCGAAGGCAAAGGCGAGTCGACTGCTTAGTCAAGAACCGCAAGCGGGAACAACATAACATAACCCTTCCATTCCATTCCATCCCAAATCCCCGTCCCAAAAATAGTATTTGCAGTGCAAACAAAGGACTGATTAATCGGAATCCCCAATTTTCATCGGCCGTGCCTCCTTTTTTCTCGTTTGAACTGCCGCAGGTGCTCTCTGATTGTCATTCAATTGGAGCACAGTAACTTAATCAATGGGCTTGTCGCGTTCGGGTGCTAAAAGGTTCAGAAAGTTCACTGCTTGGTGTTACCACAATGTAACTAATTCAAGCTGTACTTAAATTTTCAAACTCTCAGAGAATAAAAAAAAAACTATTTAAGTTTGGATGCAATTTTACCTATAAAATAAAATCTAGGCCCATCTTTTTGTTTTTTGGCTTAAGTACTTATTTAAAATAGTTTAATTTTGGTGTAACTGACTGACAATTTGCCTCTGAACATAAATCCCAAAATCAATCATAATATTTTTCCAATTTGTGGTTAAATTTTGAAATGTACAATCGTAAATAGTTGAACTACATAGTATTTTTCCCACAAATGATGAAATAAATCAAGAAATTCTTCAGTTAATAAATCAAAACAATGAAATTTTTAGCTTTGTTTGTTAGTTTGCAAAAATAAGTTTTTGAACAGAACCTGACCTCTGCCATGGTCATTTGGTTAATCATCTTAGACTGCATGCCTGACGATCATGATCATGCTGCCCTTGATCCCGCCTCTGAGATTTGTTTACGCTGTTCTCTCTCGAAAAACCAGCGAAAACAAACGAATCACCGCAGAGAAAACCAGTTAGCGGCAATGGAAAATCCACGCATTATCGAGAGTTCGGTGGATTCCCCACTTTGCCAACATCAAACCCTCTTGATCTCCACTGTTTTGGAACGTTCCTTTCTCCAGAGAGATCCGAAAGATCCGAAAGATCCGAAGGAACCGAGAATACCGATGATGAGTGGTGCTTGTCTGTGCCATGTTATGCTGACGATCCCTGGACTGACCCCCAAGACAACATTATTTAACCCACTCATGTAGCTGCCGATCGCCTCTATCACTTTTAAGATATATTTTTGATTTACGCATAAAAATAACACATTTTCTTTATAAGATAATGTAATACAAAATAGGTTCTATAAATAAAGGTATATTTTAAAAATTATATTAGTTATTGACACACAATGTTGTAAAAATGATCGCTTAACATCATAAAGGATATACTATTCTATGCAAATTAAATTTGAGTCTTAAAGAAAATTATGTTATTATATAAATCCCTAACGAACGCTTATATTTTATTAAAAGTTATTTGAAAAGTTTAATCTCAAATTTTTCAGATCTCAAAAGTATAACATTAACATTTCCCAGTGGGTTAAGCTCTGAGATGGATTCTTGGATTCGAGGAATACATTAAAATGCGCTGCAAAATCCAGTTGCCAGCGAAGTCTGACGTTCGAGGCTGCAATTTGGGGGGATTTTTGTTGTTTTTATTCACCGGTTCCTATCATTACCAAGGAAACTCATGTGCGTGTCGTAAATCGGTGCATACGATAGGCGGCGGTGGCCGCTGACTCACGGATCTCCGATCTCCGGTCTCCAATGCCCTGTCCCCTGTTCCAAATATTCTCATCTGCGCAGATCTCAGATCTCAGCTTCCCCGCGGAACCAGTTTCCATGGTGGTTTTTATACTTTTGTATACACCTCTCCACTTGCTTGTGCTTTTTGGCCTGCAGGTGTTTGGTGTTTGGTGCTGGGCCTTTCGGGTAATTTTTTCGATGCTAATTTTTGCTTGGTCAACTTCTACTATTGTGACGTCAGGTTTGGTTAAATGTTATAGTGGGTGGTGGTTGGGCGGCTCTGGGAGTGTCAAGTTCGAGTAGCTGAGTAGCTGAGTAGTGGGTGGTTGGGGCTTTGTTTGCTTTTCAGTTTCGGATTCGGTTTCGGTTCGCTTTGGTTATAGTTTGGTTTGGCTTGGTTCGTTTACATTTTGTTCTGGGAGCGCTGGTCTTTGGTCTTTTATTAGTTGGTCTTGCTTGAACGCCCACGAAGCACTGACTTCAAGGCAGCCCTCGCCGGTTGGCAGCTCCGGTTAAGTGCCTTTTGAGTGTGGAACCGGATCCTTGAGAGCGATTTTATGATGGCGATGTGGACTACGGCACGTGCAACGCTGGACGAACTGTCGCCAAGTTTAGTACAGTGCAGTTCAGTTCAGTTCCGTTCCTCGACACTTGACCTCAAGAGATGGAAATCCAAACGATCGAGAGACACCTGCAATTAGGCGTGAATCATGAATAAATTGAAAGGTCCCGTGTGCGACTCTAAAAATATACTCCCGAGTATATTAAATTCGCACAAATTACAAAACAATAAAGGCATTTTTGTCGCGCAGCCTGACTGCGCAAAGAACTCTGAATTGCCGGAGGATTTTTTGGGTGAGTGGTGGGTACCGGTTTGATTCGCAGTCTTTTTTCTGATCTCTGGCCGATTAGCAACACAGGCATTTTTACGGTCATGTCCAGAGCGAACGCGCTAATAAATGACTAACAGAAAAGGGACAATGCCGATGCGGTTAGTGTCCAGCTAATTTTATGGCTTCCACTCCGATCGACTTTATCGGTTCGCTTTATTAAAAATCATTGCCCCCAAGTGCTAGTTATTTTCCGCAATACCGAAAACCACAAAACACCGGATCGTCATATGGAAGTTTTCCTGGCTGAATTAAGGAGTGCAAAGTAATTTTTGACTTAACTAATTTAACTAATTACAAAAAGCCACAGAGATCCAGAAAAATAATCTTCTTAATAAACGAACTGTTTCCCACTGTTTAATATAGGCCAATAAAATAAAAAAAATATTTATGACTTAACAAAATTTATTTGATTTTAAATCTATGGGAATTATGGTCCAAGTGAATGCACCATTGTTCATAACTGAATTGAGTAATTTATGCACAGGTCTGAGAAGATCTATTTTTATTAAAGCTAATATGGCTACTAATGAACCTTAAAGTCATCCAAATAAAACGTCTTATCTCAGATTCTGTTTAGTTTCTGTTTATTAAATCAGGATTAATAATTGTAATTTTCATCGCTCGAAGCAAGCTAAGTTCCAGGAAGCTGAGCTCCCAAGTGCCGAAATAGCTCAGTTGGGAGAGCGTTAGACTGAAGATCTAAAGGTCCCCGGTTCAATCCCGGGTTTCGGCAATTAAAACAATTCTTTTTTTTAGTTTCAAACTTTATTATGATATCTTCTGTTACTAAATCTCACATTTTGTCTTTATATTTTGACTAATTTCGTTTACTTTTTACTTAATCACCATCAGTTAGCCAATGTGTCATACCATTAAAAAAATACTTGTAAAAGCTTTCATTGGATTGGAACACGAATACTGCCACATTTGAAAAAATAGTAAAAGCTTTATGCTGACCTGATCAAAGTTACAAAACATTTATAATGCAAATAATTCTTCGAAAACTCTTGCATTGAATATAACAAATTGATATTTTTATAAAAATATTGGTAGTAAGCTTGTCAAACAATTAACAATACTTAAAAATAATTTTTTTTGCCATTAAGACCTTAATCTTAAACGTAAACCTAATGTGTTTTTGTATGATATAATTAACATCTATAGACGTTTATTTGTGTATTTTTTTTGCCAGAAGAATTTAATTTTTAAAAATACCGCCGATCGACAGATGCAGAAAAATCAGAACATCTTAAGTATCGAATAAATAGCTACGGCCTTAAAACAATCGATAGTGGCTGCCGTATTGATCGATTTTTCTCACGACAACAAACGGTCTTATAACGATAGTATCGTCTTAGAATCGAGTATTTAATATAATAAAATATTCTGTTAATGTTGGATTTTGAAATTTTATGTTCATCTTAAAATAAGGTCTTGATCATTCTTGTTTATTAACAGCTTGTGTTGCCTTTAAACTTTAAAACCGATGGGTTCAGCAATCTTCTGCGACAGTATAGATATATTGAGATTTTACTTTTGAAAGTTTCCATCATTGGTGATTGTAATTTGGATTGATCTCTTATTTATTAATGATTCATGATGTCTTTGCCCTCAGCCGACATTTTAACCTTACATGTTGATATTTTATTTAATATATCGTTAGAGATGGATACACATCGATAAGCGATGCCAAACATCGATACGACCGATATTTGCCACCATCTGTGTCATCGATGTTATTGCATCTCTAGAAACTGCCCGTTTCCTTTCTTTTTAATTTCCACGTTTCCGGTGAGTGCATGTGCTCCGTGTGTTTTTTGCTGTGAATTGTCACTTAAATTAACTTTAAACTCTTCTTATTGCGGCCAGGGCACTTCGAGGCGTTTGCGGTCGTGTAAATTTGTGTTGGCAGAGCGATTTTAGGTGGTAAATCAAAGCCGCCAGTTGGCCGGCCCAAAAACGTTCTACCCCCTTTTTTTTCTTACATATTTTTTTACTGTGGGCCTTTGGGCCAAAATGCAAGTTACACCATGTAAACAATACACTTTGGTTTACAATACTATATGCGCCTTAATGGTACATAACTTTTTTTTCCTGTGAAATG